GTCAGTCACCTGTATTCACAACCTCCCCATGTACCCATGCATGACACTGGGCACATTCACCTTGGAGGATTGTCACCAGGCACAAGAGAAGACCCAAGAGTCTCATCTTGTAGAAGAGAGCCCTGCTATTCCAGAGACCTCAGTCCTGTGTGAAGAAAGAGCTGTGAGCAACCACATCCCAAAACTGAAATTTAACATAAGGAATTAGTACTAATTTGAAAGTGAGGAGTCCTCTTCCTATGCATGAGCAGAGACTGAGGTCAGGCTTCCTGTGGTTCTTCTATGTTCTGTGAGGCACCTCTATACTTGGAGTGAATCGGTGATATTATCTGCAATAAGGGAGCTTCTGGTTTGACAGTGAGCTGGAAGCTTGTCAAAGAAATCCCATTTTTCTGAGTCAATAGCTACCATGCTCTGCATCCTTCACCCTTCCTTGTCCACACTGCAATTCCCAGACATACTCAGACTCTGTTAGTGCTTCCTCCTGGGTGATTCCAGCACAGTGCCTCATCTCTCTCCCTGTCATTGCATTTATATTCTGGCTCAGTTCTCCGTAGGTACTGCTATATTGTCATGATGCTATTGCTACAAAAGTTCTAGATCTTACTTATGCTCAATGACAACCTGTCATCCAAGATGCACAAGGATCCATCACTGCCAACAGGGACTGGATAAAATGCTGTCACTCCTATGCTTTGCAAAATGTTGCTTTGCACAAAGTTGCACAAGCAAATAGGGACAAGAAAGTCAATCTGCTTCAAATGCCCCATTCCAGTTGACCACTGTGCATATAGTATGGGATCATGGTCAATGTACAAAGAGCCTCCACTCTAGATCTTTATATGCAAACTATGAACTAAAAATGCTCATCTTATCATAGATCCTGTTCTTTGAAAACCATTGATAATTGGTACCATGCATACAGTTACAATACTCTTACCTTTCAACATTGACACTTACTTGCCAATCATTGTATACCTATTCATCTTCTCCAAATAAAACTTAGAAAGTTGCCCCCCAGATCCCTGTGGTCTTAATATCCTCTGATCCTTCAGAGAACAAGTTGTCATTACATAATTTACTGTTAAAAAATAAGTGAAGAGCTGAAAGAACACATTCTCTCCCCAGGAAAAGAGTGAGTTCAGAGCCAATCACTCAATGTCTTGAAAACAAGACTGAAAGAATTCACCCGAACCCACGTATGTGGACATGCTGTTAACTGTTTGTTTCAGATGAATTCTGAATCATTCACTGGGGACATTGTAGATGTGTGTGTACATATACATATATACATATGTATATAAGGCATATATACAGTATAAAGTGTACATAAATTCATGGATACCTAAATTAAATATTATATTTGAAAAAATATATACTCAATTCATATTAAATGAAACCTACATACCTTTATGCTATATAATATATAATATAGTATACATCTGTAACTATCTATCTATTAATCCAAGTATATAAGACCTGAGATTCTGGCCCAGGACTAACCCCATCTGGGCATATCATATCTTCTAGGAGGTCCCTTATGACACTGGTTGATGTCTATAATTAATCTGTGAGGCTGTTCCTTCTATCTTGGTATCTAGTAAGAACATTGTGCATGTTATGCCTCTTGGCTGTCATTCATCAATGATTGTCAGAAACCCTAAGTGCATGACTCAATGGTGAAATTCCAGTGCCTGCTAACCTGCAGAATTATCCTGTGGATAGGCTGGGGCTGCCTTCCATGGGATCTACTGAAATGTTTCTTATGACTGACACCTTCACTTTCCCTTTCTTGCTAAACTAATAGTTTTTACTGAGAACAAGTCCAAATAATCTTCCTGAATTTTATCCATGCCTGCAATAAAGCTGTCTGATAGCTACCCAACATGAGGATATTCACAGAAGTGAGGAGGTGATGGTTGTATAGAAAAGGATCATTCTCATTCTGGCAATATTGTATGGAGGTCACTCATATATTTGGCTGAGATGTATGCAAACTCCTCCAATACTGATGATTGATCAAGGAAAATTTGTGTCTCACAGCTGCTTTTTCACATAGGTAGAGGCTAGGATGGAGCCTCTTTCCTTATAGGAACCCCAAAATAATACCCTCTGCTGGGCTTCCCAGTGATGTCAGGACTTATGAAGAAACTACTCTAAAAGTGATCCTATTCAATCCAATACAGGTATCCATGGTTCATCTCCTACTGCTTTATCTAAATCAGTTCATGTATTCTTTGAAACATCCCTGTACCATGCTAATGCTTCCTCATTTGACTATTGGGACTTTCTGAAAAGTGACTTTAAGAGTCATGTCAAGAACCTGGGGAAGAAGTGGTGTAGAGAGGAAGTGAATCCAGGCCTTCTAGCCCAGAGCATATATCAGCACTTGATTGCAGCATTTGACAGATCTACAAACCCAATTATATTCACCAGTATTCTGTGTCTTATAATTCTGACTTAGTAAAACCAAAAGTTATGGCACTAAGAGAAAGACCTCATAATAAAGATGTTTGTCTGTTGAAAATGGTTCTGATAAAGGAGAACAAGATAATATATCACAGGAATCATAATTATTATTACTTACATAAATACTAATTATAATACTGTCAATTATTTAATCTCTGTACTGTTGGAAAATTCTTTTATAGTTTTAGGAAAATAAATCACCTCGCTTGTGAAAATTTTGGTATTATTCATCAAGAGAAAGCACAGAAACTATAAGGAACATATCTGGGAAAATATGAAAAGCACATTAGAAGACAAAGGAAGGCAAATCTGAGACATGATGATAGCCATATCTGAGGAGAGATTATGACTATATCAGATGAAATGTGAAAACCATATCTGAAGAATGATGAAGATCATAGTTGCAGAATTATTCAAACCATATTTAAAGAAATTGAAGATGATATCTGAGGAATGATGAAGACTGGATCTTAGGAAATGAAAGACCATATCTGAGGAATGATAATACTGTAACAGGAAAGATGATAAAGAACATTTCGAAGGCATGTAAAAACCCTGTCTGAGGAAGGAGTAACCCTTATCTCAGGAAATAAAAGGAATGTATTTGACACAAGAGGAGACTATATTCAAGAGCCCCAAACAGCCACACAAGATGAAAGCTGAACGCCATCATCAAGTAATTTGAAGATCACATGTAAGGAACAATGAAGAACATATCTGAGAAAATTTGAAGAACTTGTTCAAGTAAAGATGAAGACCTTAAACAAAGAAATATGTAGAGCCTACCTTACCTTGGGTGATGATCACACCAAAGGAAATAAGAAAAATGCATCTGAGGACAGTTGAAATCTGTACCTGAGGAAGATCAAGGTCATTCAAGGAAAAATGAAGATAAGATCAGAGGGACACTGAACACCATATCTGGAAAAGTAGAAGATCATATCTGAGGACATGTAAACACTGTAACTGAGGAAAGATCAAAATGATATAAAAGGAAATGTGAAGACCATATCTTTGTAATAGTGAAGAAAATGACTGAGTAAAGATTAATTCATTATCTAAGAAAAGATGCAGGCAAACTGTGAGAACAGGAGAACATCATATTGAAAAGGATGAAGACCATATCTGAGGTAAGACAAGACCTTGTCTGAGGAAAGGTGAAAACCATATCTGCATAAGATGAAGAACATATCCAAGGAGGGAGGAAAAACATGTCTGAAGGGACATGAAGACCATAACCAAGGATATACATAGAGCTTATCTTAGATCATATTTCAGGAAAGATAGACATTATAATTGAGGAAAGGTGAAGACTGTGTCTGAAGTCAGAGAGAGATGACATCACAGGAAATATAAAACCCATATCTTTGGAAAGGTGAAGATAATACCTGAGTCGGTAGGAATACCATATCTAAGGATAGCTGAAGGTCTTATCAAGAGGAAACATGAACACAGGATTTTAGACAACATGGACAGCATACCCTAGGAAAAATGAAGAAGACATCTTAGAAAGATGAAGTTCATGAAGAAGGAAAGTGGAAAGAAAACCATGTTATGAAATGTGATGATGCTGTTTGATGAAAAGAAATACCATCTGAGGAATGATGAAGACAGTATCTGGGAAAATTACCAGCATTCCCCGTGATAGAATAAGACCACACACCAGGAAAGCAGAAAAACATACCTGAGCAAAGATGAAGACTGTATCTGATGAAAGGTGACAGTCATGTTTGCAGAACTGTGATGTTCTATCTAATGAAACACGAAAACCATTGCTGAGTGTTGGAGGGAAGGTGGAGGTCATATCTGATGAAACACAAAGACCATTTCTGTCATCATGTGAACACCATATGTGAGGAAAGATAAGTGTGTATCCTTGGAAAGATGAAGACCATATTTGAGGAAAATGCAGACATCAATTTGGGTATATGTGAAGACCACATGATGAAATATTAGGACTGTATGTAAGAAATTAGGTCAATGTATCTGAGGGTATGTGAAAACCACATTTGGGTGCAAGTAAAGGCAATATCTGAGGAAAAATGTTACCATAGCTGATAAAAATGAAGAGAAATCTCAGAGAATGTGATGTCTGTAGTAGATGAAGGAGAACAGGTCATCCATTAAGATGAAAGAAAGAACATAACCACAAAAGGGGACAGGTGCAGGTTTATCTAAGATGAACACCTTGTCTGAGGAAACATGAAGATCAGATCTTGGGAAAGATGAAGACTGTAACTGAAGATAGATGAAGACCCTGTCTGAGGAATGATGAAGACCATTTCTGAGGAACAAGAATACTACATCTGAGAGAAGAAGACCATCTCTGAGGAAAAACAGCTCATGTTTGAGGAGAGAGGAAGACTAATTTTTGCAAGATGAAAACCATTCCTGAGGAAATATGAAAAACACATGAACAGAAATTTGATGAGCCTATCAAGAGGAATTATGACCACCTGGTGATTACAATGAAGAGAAATATAAGTCTGTATGTGGCCAATGCTGAATTCCATGAGCTCAAATACCTGAGATCATATTGTCACAGGTTTTGCAATGTCCAGGGTCAGGTCACACCAGGCTGTGTGACCTGTGCTGGCTCTTGTGCACTGTGGGAAGTGGGTGATGGAGCTCATGTAAATCTTGAAATGGATCCATGTATGACCTGGAGTTTAATCTGCTGCCCCAGGTCATACACACAGGAGAGCTGGTGGTCCCAAAGATGCAGTGCAGCACTGATGCATTGGGATAGATAGCTGAGATAACACACAAGCTGGAAGGACCATTGTTGACAACTTCACTGAGACATGGGGAAAGGAAAGCACATGTGCTCAGAATAAGCTTAACTCACAATAGTAGCACCTACAGAAGAAAATGTGTTGCAGGCACACAAATCTTAAAAAAATTTCAGCTAACCAAATAGCATGCACATAAAGACAGTATGCTAATTCAATGTTATTCTGTTCAGGTAACCACATGGTGTAGCAATTCACAAACTCAATAATCCAATTAACCTAGTTTTCATAGAATCTCAGGTTGAAAAGTTTCTGTTGGAAATTAGGTTAAGATGAAAGTTGTGCCGTTGCAGAGGGCACAGGTGATCTATGTCCATGCTGTAGAGACCCACAGAATGCCACCTTAAAGATTCAGTTTATTTGGAAGGGGGAATATCTAAGTAAAAAAGCATTCCTGAACTTCCATGAGGATAATTGGTTCCTTGGTATAAGATCACAGAGAGACTCAGAAACAAGGGAAAGCAGAGGAAGATTTGGGAAATTCCCAGCTGGCAGAGAGATAAGCAAAATCTGACTGTTAGGAAGAAGTCATGGGTGTGCCCAGACTGCTTACTAGATTCTGGCATAGATAAAGCATTCCCTGCTTCTGGATTGTAGCACACAGAACTTGAGAGATTCTCCATGTCTTGGAGGACATCTCTGCCATCACAAGCTCATCCCTGCCATCATCTGGGCTCATGGGCCTAGAAAGGCAATTTGTTTCAGAATCTACATGACAGACACAGAAAAAAATGTCACAAATGTTCTCCAGTGACTATGGATGACTGTTAACCCATGGCAGTTCTGGGTGGAATTTCCCAGACTTCCTTGTCTCTGCTTCATGTTGAAACCTTAGACAAGCACTGAAGTATGAAATACAAGCAGACACTGCTGCTTCCTGGAAAGACTTCAATATTATTTGTGACTGTTCTGTCACTGAGATCTGTCAATATGGCACTGTTTAATCTCAAAAAACAGAGCATGCCACAAAAATGTCCTCCCTAATTCAGGGACCTGATCTGTCAGCTCATCCCTAGAAACATTCCACAGCTGACTACTAATCCTTTCCTCAATTACTCACCTCTAATTATCTAACCCACACTCAAAGTTTGCCTGAAGCAAGTGTTCCCTGTCACTGTCTCAGCATCTCTCTCAGGGATTCTGACACCCTCAGGATGTGATTTTCACACTGTGTCTTGCACAGTAAGACATGGCTGTGTCCTCAGCCTTCAGGTTGCTGATCTGCAGATATGCGGTGCTGACGGAGGCGTCCATGGAGATGACAAACCGACCTTTGAAGCCCTCAGCATAGCCTGTATTGCCATTCGCAGTGTTGATCCACCCTATGTACTGCAAGCCTTTTCCTGCTTCCTGCTTCACCCAGTTCATTCCATAGCTGGTGAAGGTGTAGCCTGAAGCCTTGCAGGAGATCTTCACTGTCTCTCCAGGCTTCTTCAGCTCAGCCCCAGACTGTGTCAGATGGACCTGTGAGTGGGTTCCTGTGGAGAGGACAAAGGGAAGTCAGAGGCCTTCCCTGACAGAGCTGGCTCTGTCTGCATTGGAGCCCTTGGCCCTGTATCTTACCTTGGGCATCTGCCAGAAGGAACAGAAGCCTCCACACCCAATTCCTGCTCTGGGATTCGGACTGAGCTGTCAGTGAGACTGATGGGCAGAGGCCTCGTTGGATGTGTAAGGGGATCCTCAGCTTTCTATTGTGTAGGTCCCTGGATATTTGCACATGGATCAGGCCTTAAAACCTGCTGGCTAATCCAGGCATGGACAAACTGACACCTTGGAGTACCCCTGCACTTGGTGTTTGTGCTGTGCCCTCCGTTGTCTGGTGCATGGATCCTCTTACTAATGGTCCTGTCTCAAATTTGGCCTGGTATTTGGCATGGTCTGCACACCAACCTTCCCCCTCACTTACCCCTCATGGTGTCATGGCTCCTTTTTTCAACTTTGTAGTTGAAATTGTGTAAATCTCTGCTCACAACCTCATTCTATCACACAATTGTCTAGTGACTGTGATTAGGTTCATGAATCTACCCTGACCCACAACATACAACCACTCTTCTCTGTGGAGACCCATAGATTTGTCCTTCAGAGACCATTGTCTGGGATTAGTCCTTCAGAGGCCAAAGTCTGATAGATGTACCTAATTTCTGACCTCTAAGGCTTTATCCTTTTTCACATTGAATTGGTAGAATTAAGATACATTTTGAGAAGGCATATTCTTCACTCAAAATGTACATATATAAGCAGTTATTAAAATAAAATGTACTTTAAAGGAACTAACAAATGTTAAAACTCTCACAATACATTATGACATTAGGGCTTACTTTTGACATTATTCTAGGTCTGACAACATTCCTATAATATGTGAACAAACTGTACATGGATGAATGATCATATATAGAATCACTCACTTGGTAGTTTGGAAATACCAAGGATAATCTCAGCTTGGTTTCATGAAGTTAAAATCCACTTTGGGATGCTATGAGACTGCACACAAGGTAGGGTACTAATTGCCTTCCATATTTGAAAATTTCCAACTGAGTCCTGTTACCTGGCATGGTGGCTAAAGAAATCTGCTGCCATGTCCAGCAGTCTTCCACATCCCACATGACTCACTGGCAAATGGGTCCACCCTTGACCAAATGCTTCAAAACCCTTCACAATAGATAAATTACCTTATGCCATGTCACAGGTGTTCACAGACTCTGGTATTGTATCCAGATGTCAAACCCAATGGTTGTTTCTGAACAGTGATATCATAATTCTGTATTAGTGGACTCCACATCAACATGACCATGAGTGAATAAAAACAGTGGAAGAGAATAGGGACTTGGATAATTGATGGCTTTCTGAAGATGAAAATGCTGGCCACACTGAAAAATAAAAAGAATTTAATGGCCCTTTAAATAACTGAGTTCAGAAAGCAATCACCCAACCAAGACAGTGGAGAGCTGTTTGGAGAATCCCCTTGCTACAATTTGCATCCCACATGGCCTCAAAACACGAAGAGTTCACATTTGGTTTGCAGCTTGGCTGTGTTGGGAGGGGGTGTAACCTTTAGAGATGGGGCCAGTGTGAGGTCCTTAGTTCATATGGGCCATGGTATTGAGGGGATTATGGAGTCAGCTCTTTCCTCTCTCTCACTCTTTTCCAGGAGTTCAGCAGCTTCACCATACGCACCCCATCATGGTGCTTCTCATCACCACAGGCTCAAAAGTAGCAAGGCCAAGGGATGACAGACTGACACCTATAAAACTGAGTAAAGATGGACCTCTTCTCAATCTAAGTTGGTAATCTCAGATATTTGTCACAGTGACATAAAGCTGCCTCACAACCCTGGAAGCAAAATTAGTACTGGCAACAATATAAATATTTCATAAATTTCTGGAGATTATGTCTGGACTTCCATCCAAGTGAGAAGTGCATCTATCCCATACTTCTCCTCAAAATGCTAGTAGTTTTCAAACCGAGGATGCAAATCCCCTGTGTCTTTGGTAGGGGAGCATTTGGAAGAGGAGAGACAATCATTTGGAAAAGCACATAGCACTTTCTCCATCCCAAAGCCCACCTTCCAGAGAGTCTGCCCTAGAGACTCACCACGGTGGTGGTAATCAAATCTTTCCCTGTTTTAGCATTAGAACTTCATGCAGACTAGAGGTCAGATTTTAAAAGAAAACAAATAAAAAGAGAACTTACTTATGGGGAAACAATCAAAATAAAATTCATATTACAGAAAACAATACAAATTGAGGACTGCTAATCACAGAGCCTTCAAAGAAGGAACTCACTTGTGATATTTAAGTTAAAAACAGGGAGATAGAGGTCAGGAGGATTATGGTCATAAGCTAGACCTTGCAACCCATCACCAGGGCCCCATCTCAGTCAATAAACCTGGTGTCTTGGGGCATGCCTGTGACACCAGTTATATGCAAAACCGTTGGTAAGAGGATCACAGTTTTGGCCATTCCCAGGTGAAAAAGGAAGACTTTAACTGAAAAATCACTAAAGCTCAAAAGTTATGTAGCATGTCTCAAGCAGCCAGGCGTCTACTTAGCACTTGGGTGCCCTGAGTTCAAACCATTGCAACTATGTACAGTGCACACAGGTGAGGTATTTTTTTGTACTTTATACTGTGCCTTGCAGGTAATGTGTCAGAGCTGCCATTTGTCTTGGAGTTCACAGAAGTGGAGACTTCCATCTTGAGGGATGGTCCCTGTCACTGGAAAGGAGCAGGAGTCAGACCTGACATGAAACACCTCCCAGACTCTCCTGCACCTATCTCTGCATCCTTTGCTGGTAGTCAGGGAAAGTTTTTCGCCCACTGCATGGGTCCTTTGCAGCATCACTGGGCTCTTTCCATGTCAGGGACAAAGTCAGCTGCCTCCCATCCTTTCCTGTGTCTTGGGCTTAGAGTCAAGGATATTTGAATTAATCACAAAGGAAAATGTGAAACTATGCCTGAAATTATTTCTTCATGTTTCATTTGATATTTTATCCAGTAGTATTTTCCTTGCTTTACTTTATTATATTGGTGTCTTTATAGCCACCACATGAAGCTGTGGTGGGGTGGAAGAGGTGGAGCCAAGTGCACTTTATCAGTTTCTTGAGAGCTATTCTCTGTTCTTTGGTAATATTTTTACAGATTCAGGTCCTAGGTAAAAGTCTCTATACTCTTTGGTGTTGTCTATTACATGTAGCATGAGAAAAGCACCAGTTTCGATGTTTCACATGTGGACATCCTGATTCCCTATCACCATTTATTGATGGCCATTTCCCCATGTTTTGTTGTTGATGTCTTGATGAAAAAACATTACATTATAAGCCTGTCTGTTCATCCCTGCACTCTCCATCCTATTCCATTGATCGATGTGTCTATTTTTATGTCAGCACCATGCTGTTTTTAATTAGTTTGTTTTATTTTCAAGGACTGTGTTTCTATGTTGTATCTAAGAAATGCTTTGCTGATCAATTTCATGCAGTTCTATTCCATTGATCCACATGTCTAACTCCATCATTCCACATGACCCTGATCATCATGCTCTAAACACCAGCATCCTGTCTAAATAA